ATTTTGTTAACTTTTTCCACTACAGAAGTGAAAACCAAAGTAAAACAAGTAGTTCAAATAGCCATAGCTTTGCCATTTACTTTTTGCTTCTCTGAGGTATTTAGCCAGGGTTTAAAATATCAAGGCTTCATTACCCCCAATTTCTGGAGGAGTCTGGTATCAGGTTATACTTGCAGGATTGGGAATTTTATTTGGAAAAAAAAGTAGCCATGTGGAGGGTTCATCCTTTTTTCACTGAAGAGATGTCTGTGTAGATTAACACAGCTTGCAGAATCATTATCCTAGAAAGGTTATCCATGTCTCCAAAACTGATTTGAGGTCTCAAATGCACATTCTACTGTGAAAGATTCAGAGGTCAGTCTATTCAAAGAGAAGGTTAGGAAGAGATTTGATCATAACTATGTGCATAGAGAGAAGTACCTCAGTCTGTAACATTAAAATATTGATATACAAGCTTCAGCGGATCAAACTGCAAGAAACAGCTCAGTCTTTGATTCCTGCAAGCTACTGCCCAGGATCAGTTTATGATTGTAAACTGCAACAGTTCAGAAGCCATTCAGCCATCCCAGCTCTGGAGGGTAACTACATCTGGGCAGGGGGTAGGTAAGCAGCAAAGGCAACAGTTGCTCCAAGTGGCTCATCTAAGCCCAATGCTAAATGCATATTAAAATATTTGGATAATGCAACATGAAACACAAGGGACCTGAAATTAGAAATATTCAAATGCAACATAAAATTTATGCTTTTGAGAGAGAAGAAATAACTATTTGAACAGTTTCCTGTGGGATACAGTAGATTTCTCATTATTTGATGTTTTAAAACAAAACTGGATGTCCACTGAAGTCTACACTCAAAGTGAAGCTAGGGACTTTATGCGGACATCGCTGGATTGAATTCCATGACTTCTTTTATTTAGGAGGTCACCAGAGGCCTTTCTGGCCTCTAAATACAAGAACCTGAGAAGGCCTTGATAGAAGAGCTAGGTGAAATTGATACATAAATTATAAATTCACTACATTTGGACAAGGGAGAGCCTCAAACCATTTCCTTGCTATGGCAGCATTTGGCCAGAAGAAGCGTTGGGCTGAAAAGTCCTCTATTTGCTGGGGAGAAGCAAATAAGTATTTCAGATTTCATAAATCACTGCCTCCTTCTCCTGTCATAGAGAAGACTAAAAATGAGACTTTAGACTAAAACTAACTTGAACCATCTTTTCTCTCTGCTGTGTTGAAAGCACCTTTCTTTCTTTGTGTTTCCAATGGGAAAGGAGAAGAACAGGGGTGGGAATATGATGTAGCTGAGACGTGTGCCTGCAGTGCAAGGATTTTTCTCCATGTTACAATTCTGAGAAAATTTCTCAGTCTGCTTTTGTTGTTGTAGTTGTTTTGAATATTTAAAATATGTCAAAGGTACCTTGAGTTTTATGTAAAGACACTTTTAAAATGTGTGCGTGTGTCTGTGTTTAAAAAAAAGACTTTCCTTAAAAAACTAATAATGTGGCATAACAGAGATTTAAAAGACACTGTATACTCTTAGAAGAAGCAACAGTCAACCAGATGAATTATGGAAAGAGCTAAACGTGCATGCATGCCCACAGTTACATTCACACCTGAATTTGCTTAATAACTGCAGATGACTAGGCACGCTGTAATGGTCAAATGCAGAAGCTGGTGCGCTATTCATATACCTCCATTTCCATTTAATGTGTTTCCTAATTTTAGGATACATAATTCACTTTAGATAGTTTTGCATACAACTGCATAATTAATTATAAACAGCAACAGTGCTGCTGTCCAGGACCCACATACCTAAAAAAGTTCTCAGATGTGTTTGCACTGCCCATCCACTTAACACATACGTTTGTGGGCAGCTGACTGTTCTCTCTCCATGCTCTTTTTGTCATTACTCTGCACTGGTTTTTGGAATAGTCAGTGTCTCCAGCTCCAAAAGAAACCCAGAAACACTGTCTGGTTAAATTGACCAGCTAACATGGATAATGTAAACAGAGGAAGTGCAGATAACTCTCCTCAAAAGCCTATGATCTAGTTTTTCATGAAAGAGAGGCAGGTTCACAAAGCATCTTCTGAGATGCCTTCAACTGTCTGTTTTCCAAAATATGCTCTGTAACTCTTCTGAGAATTAAACCTTTTTTTTTTTTTTTTTTAAATTCGAGCACCAAGAATTTCCAGTCACCTTTGACAACCTTAGATTAAAACCACCACAAGAGAAGCAGCCTTGCCAGTTTGAAACAGGAGACATTCTTTTATTTAGCCCTGAGACTAAAAATACACCTAAATGGAAATCAGTACTCCATTTATAAAACACTCATCTACAGCCAAATTTTATTTAAATTTGCTTTTCATAGAATCTCTTAGCACCAGGGGACAGCTAATGACATTCCTCGATACATGAAGCAGTGAGGCACTGCAACAGCCTTTCTGCATCTCCATTCAGACCCTGTCTCACGTTGCTTTAACACTGGGTAAAACAGAGGTGGAAAACGCTGAGGCCTCTGGAGGAACCCAAACATACTTAACTGGGTTTTCCATGCACTTTTAAATTTGCCCAGCTGCTAACACATACTGTTATGGCTGTCTGAATGCTGATTTGGGCATGGGCTGTAGCTGAGGAGGTGGGCAAGTAGCAGCACATTGATCCTTGGAGGCCAACATGTCCAGGCAGTATCAGTGTGACAGAAGCAGAAGACAAAGATCTAAATTGGGACACACACAGCTGCACTCACAGCTGCATTTCAGGGTACGGTGGCCTTTGTGGCACTCCGGGGCACTAGCAGCAAAGGGAAGAAGGGCTACAGGACTATCAGCTCCCATCTTCTCTCCTCACACATTCTTCACATATAGAAAAACACCATAACTCTTCTAGACTTTGTGGCCAAAGCAGCTGTGTTCCTGCATCAACAAAGAGAGGGTTTTGGCTGTGTGGCAGCAATTTCTTCCTAAAGAGGATTGTTTTTCATTATCCACCCAACTGGTTTGTCTTCCTTCCAAAGATGAAATATATGAAAAAAATCCTCTCATGAAGAACATTTGCAAAATACCTTGCTTGAAAATAGCTTTGGCTATTTTCCCCTAATTTTCCACCTATGCCAGCAGGTTTAAAAACTAGGCCCTCTTTGTTGGTAGCCAGCTTTACACATCTGAAGCTGCCCTACTTATATTTCAGAATGAAATCAGCAGACATCATTGTTGTTCAGAGCTTTGAGCTGAAAGTCTCAAACAATGTACTTTTCCTTCAGACTTGGAGCAATCTCAGTTAAGAAAGAGGTGAGTGATCCGCTACATGTGACATGGTCAGGTCCTTGCAAAGATGGTCTTCCCCTAGCAGCAGCCTGGGCAGTTAGAAGCAAGCTGAAGTACTGCCTTCAAAGGTCACTAATCACAGAATAACCTAAAAATTGGAAGGTTTAGAAGTAAATGATTCACACAAGAGGCACCTTCTCTGAGAGAAAACCATTACTTGTTTCTCACTTTGTTGGGACGTAGCCTTGGATCAATTTTTATATTTATAGACTAAAGTATTAAGTATATCTTTCTTGTCAGCCTGCAGCGGGTCGTTTAAAATAAATTTAACATTTACGGCACCTCAAATTTTGTCTTTACTGCAGTACTTCTTGTTCTCGCTATAGAAGATACTACGAATACCACAGTAAAGCTCAAATATCAGAGGGCACTAAAGCGCTGCTTTTTAATGGCAGTCACTAAACACAGAGCTCATAAAACTGCAGTTATCTTAGTACTAGTGGTACTCAGAAGTGAAAGACAATAAGATATTCATGTTCCAGTGATAAATCTACTGAAGTCAGTGGGATAAGAGCTGGAATTAATTCACCCCTTGGACAAAAAAAATAAGCATGGGGGTCCTGGGTGGGAGTTCAGGACAGGATTTTCTAATTAATCAAGGAAACCCAGAGAAGAAGTGGAGGGGCACTGTTCCTGAAGGAATCCCTGAAGGTATTGTTTGGAGTGCTGCAAAAGCTGTTCTCGGAAAACGGTTCATTAATGTTGCCTGTGGAGCCAGAGGAAGGGTTAGGAGATCAGTGAGCAGTTGCTAAGAGAACTAGTAGTCATCAGCCAACTGGCAGAAGTGGAATGGAAGAAGAGAAAAACTTGAGAAGGGGATCTGAATGTCCTTTTAACTGGCATTGAAGAGCAAAAAGCAGGCAAGAAGTTCCTTCAGAAAGCTGTAAGACTTCAAAGAAAAATGTCCCAAGACAATAACTGTAATACAGCAGTGTTTTCCAGCATAAACCCCGGCTGACCTGGTTTGTTCTCACTTTTACTAACATGTAAAACCATGAAATTGCTTACAACTGATTAGTCTCTCCACTGCTGCTCTAGAGAGGCAAAGAAATGAAGAGGAACGGAGCTGAACTACCAGCCTCCTTCCTAGGCCTTGGCCAAGCTGACCAAATAACTACATTAAAAATATGTATAAATCACATTTCAGACAGTGCCAGAGGGAGTTCAGCTCCGATCTTGATGATTTATAAACATGTCTTCCTGAACATCAATCTTGTGTCGGCAGTGACAGTGTCCTAGCTGCCCTTCTGTGTTATAAATGATACCCAGTTTGGGAACTTCTTCATCAACACTCCCCATAACAATTTTTCAAATTAGGCTGTACAAAATAGCAACTAATAATAAGATCCTAGGATTGTACAGGTTGGAAGGATCATCAGAAGGTTTCTGGTCCAAACACCTTTTCAAAGCAAGGTCAGCTTTGAGATCAGATGAGGTTGCTCAGGGGCTTTCCTCAGCTGGGTTTTGAAAACTTTTGAGGATGGAGGCTGCACAGCTTCTCTAGGCAATCTGCTCTATTGCTTGACTACATGTCATCTAAACCTTTTATTTCAATTAATGCCTGTTTTCTTTTATCCACCCTGAATGCAACACTGTGAGGAACCTAGCTCTGACTTGTTGATAACTTCCCTGTAGTTACTGGAAAATTAAAAGTAAAGAGAATGTTTATGCATACAAAGATTTATATGTCGATGTTTAATGTTTAGACAGATCAAAGAGTATGAAGTCTAAAAGATCATCAAATTTTAGGAATCATAGTCTGGCTACAATTTTCACAAATGCCTTGTTCTTCAACACGTGTCATTAAGAACCAGGTACAAAATGCACTCCCATCTGGCTTGTGATGCGCAATTAAGAACCTGATATAAAACTATTGTTTACAGTAGAAAAGCCTTTGATTTCACATGTAACACATCTCATTCATATTGGAGTAAACCAGGAGTAGCCTCATTTAAAACTTGCCAAGTCACATGATTTCACACTAGACTGTCACTAAACCCAAAAGAGCGTTAAAACCACCTTTCCATTAAATAATAATAATAATAATAATAATAAAAAAAACTTGCTTCTTCCTGAAGTTTTTTGTTTTGTTTTGTTTTCCTGGCATGCTCTCCCCCTCCCTTATCCATGTTCCTCTAATCAGTCTATATGGTACCACTTCTCTGCTGGCAAAGCAGTAAGGCAGCTGTGGTGCCAATATGCCTGAAGCTTGCCTCAGGCATATCTCTGCCAATTTGAAATTTTTACCATCTTCCCAAGTTAGACTATCTTTGCAGAAGTAGGGATCCAAAAATCATAACTTATGGACTAGCACCCTTGACAGAGAGAACTGTTAAAAAGCCTGAAATCCCCAAGTGTTCCCTGCAAGAGGAATATATATATATTTGTATAATACATACATAAAAAGGCTTAAATGAAAATTGCTATATGCTTTAGTCATGAATTCACAGTCTCCCAGACAGAAATGGTTTCCATTTGTTATTCTTTTCAAACTAGCTCCCCAGCAAATATTTCAAGCAATTTTGTTCTCTAAAATCCACTTTTCATCACTTAGGGAGTCATTTAATGTCACCAGGAGGTTTGCCCAACAAAGGCATGCTAAATCAAACCATAGAGTAGCATTTAATAATCAGACCCAATTGAACATTTGCAGGACAGACCTGAGTCCAAGAACCATGAAAGGCTTTCAGGCATATAATTTGTGCTATTACAGCAGAGAAATTGATGAAAACCAAATGGGTGCTGGTGGCACACTGACATCTTGTCAGGGGCACCTTAGGCATGGTTAGATTAATCGGAGGGTTGGTTTTTGTTTGGTTTGGTTGTTTTTGTGGTTTTTTTTGTTTTTTTTTTTTGTTTTTTTTTATAGTCATCTTGGTTGATTCTGGTTCTTCGTAAAAGAAACTATGGGGCACCCTCATGATTGACGTCCTCATGATTGAAGGGGTAGTTTCTGATTGTTCTTATGCCTGTGAGGAAGAAGGGAACAAGGTGATTCCTGACTTGACAGAGCCAGGAAAAAATAAGTTGAAATCTCCATGTTGAAAGAAGGTCACAAATAGTGAAACTTTCTCAGTTTCTGTGTGAGACACCACCTACCCCCAGGAGAGCACGTGGACCACATCTACCCTCCCTAGATATGTTAGCAGCATAGAGGATGTACCATACTGGATGAGCTTCCTTCATCTGCAAAGAAACCACAAGCATATCTCTTGCCTTACAACAATGCCCTGCACCTCTCACAGGGTGCATCCACCCCTCTTTCTTTATGGTTCCTGCAGTTACCTCGTCACTGGTTTGAGCCTGAGCCTGGAGGCAGCAGGAGGAAGGCTTTCAATCCCTACCCCACTGTCTTACATGTTTCAAGTTTTCCAGCCTTGAAGTTACCAGGGGAGATCCCACATGACTGTGCACATAGCTAAATGCAGTTGTCTCCAGCACTTTCTCAAAGAATACACAAGATAGAGGAACTAAGTCAAAACTGTCAGATAATGCCTGATTTACAGGGTGCTGGGGTGGGAGCATCTGCACAGAATGGCTGCAAAGAGTCTCTTGGAACCAGGGAGAATTTACTGCACTTTTTACATGAAACTTAATCACCCTGATAGACATTTTTGTAGAAGAAGCACATTTAAGTCCAATCAATATGGAAAAGTCTTGAGGAATAAATAAGACATCTCACTAGCTCAAACCACTAATAACATTGTGACTTTTAGGTGTTGATAGACAAGACCTTCCTCTAGAAGTTTACTGTATAGTCACCACCCAATTTCTTACTCTCCTAAAAGTTTTCACACTGACACTAGAGGCAAAAGGATAAAACACACGCCCATACCTAAAATGCATCAAAGCACACTTCTTGCCTAAAGTAATTTAAGTCAATGGTTTAAATCAAAACTCTTGTCTACAAACAGCAGGGTTAACATTTCTACTCCAATGAGCTAAATACTACTGCAGTTACAGGCACCGTTCTTGGCAGCCTCAAAAACACTGGCCTTGCCTGCCTGGTCTCCCTTTGAACTTACCCTTTTATAATCCTTCCTCACAGAAAACATGATCTGGGGCAAGGAAGCTTGTGCTGCTCTTCACCTGCCCTGAGAGTCAGCTTCAGTTCAGTCAGAGTATGGGTAGCTGCCGCTGAGGTGGTTTTAGCTTGGCCAGGTTGAAAAAAGCTGAAGTTTGTACACTGCAACTCTGGTGCTGTTGACAGTGACCCACTGTGATGAGAGCCAGCTCAGGCAGACTGCTCGGATCACAGTCATCCTCATGACTGCCATCACGCAGGCATCCGCAAAGGCTCCTGAGGCCTTCCACATGCATTAAATTTCCTTTATACTCATTTTGGCAGGAAAATACCTTGTGTCTAGAGGGTTGCAGTTGAGAAATGTGCCCACCATCAAGATAACTCAGGTGTCTTCCAAAGGCCCATGCAGTAATTTTATTTTCTGTCTTCCTGCAGTAAGAGCATCCCTGCAATGCTGGAAAACAGAATTAGGAGAACTAGAGAATTTTTCCCACAAAAATCATGAGCACAGCATTATATTGGATCTTTTGTGTGAGATTTTTCCCTGGATGGCTATGTCCTACTTTCTCCACAGGACAGCAGTGAGCACACCACGTAAATATACGACACTGAGAGAATAAAGTCATGTTTAGTTCATCAGCCACCCGTCCACACTGCACTAGCCCTTTCTAGTCCTTTTGTATCACTTCCTGATCCGCAATATTTATCTTATTCCTTTTTCCTCCTTCAATAAAATTGTTTTATTTGCACTTTTCATCATCTATAAGCAATTCAAGAACTATTCAGTGTTTCTGGCACCCAGAATAACAGAAAAGTCAGTAGCCTTGGCATATAAGAGTAGATATATAGTGTCTGAAGGGAATAAAACACAGATCCACATACAAAACTAGGAAATAAATTTCCTATCAGGGAGAATTTATTCCCACTTTTAATCGGGGTATACTAAATTATACAAGCTCACAGTGCCCAGCAAGTGATAAAGTGATTAGTCCATCCTCTGCTACACCTCTGCATTTAGTCCCTGTGGAACATAATTAATGGGCAGTTTACACTTCTCTCACAAAACATTAATAAACACCATAAACAAAATCTAACATAATGTTGCCCAGCACCACCTCACTTGGGCACCTCCCAGGATTCAATATTTTGCTGCAAACCACCACAATTTATTCATATTCTCTCCATGCATAAGACAACGCTTATACCCAAGCTACTAGGAAATAATTGTTCAGAATTAGAGGCATTGTATCAAATTCTTTAATAACAGACTGTACTTCAGTCATGCCATCGTTACCGTTGGCTACAAATATGGTAATTTAAAAAATAATTTTAAAAAATCAATCCAGTATGTCAGAGATTATTTGATATATATTTATAAAGTTGTTATTGTTCATCAGCTGCCAGGTAACTGCAGATATTTTTCCCTTAACGTTTGCTTCATTACTTTATTAATGAAAAATGGTCTTAACAAGTGCAGTTCATATTACAGCTCCCCAGGCTTTCTTATTTTTACTTTTCATAATTTTCAAAAATTACAAGACATCACATCTACTTTCCAGTCTCTGCCTCAGATTTCTAGAATCACAGCAGTTATTTTCAGCTATTTGAAAGTAGTTTACAAATTCATTGGCTAATTTAAAGTACATTGCAGAAAATCTATTAGGGCATCTTACCATGTAGTGCAGTTTCAAACAGTAATGATTCAGCATTGAACTTTAATAGCCAAAACCCTAAGAATCAAGTGGAGGAAGCATTACATATAATATAGCATATACTTAGATTAAATGTGAAACCTAATTTGTAGTAAAGGAAGTATTAGTTACAAAAAAAAAAATTAACAATATAATTAACATTATGGAAAAAAATAATAATGTCTTAAAACATAGTACTGAAACAGTAAACATAAGGTTATTCTTCCAGGTTTAGCCTTCCATTTCATTACTTTCTCACGTCGATTTCTCGGTTTGTATTACGTCAATTTCTCTCGATTTGTATTACAAATTAAAAGTCAGGTATGCAGGCAGTCTCTTTGGGTTTACTTTGTGTTGTTTGTGTGTTTTTTTGAAAATAAGGTGGGATTTTTGTTGTTTTATTTTTGTTTTTGTTTTCTTTTTAATATGACATTAGGGATAACTATGGAGTAAAGTTAACTTTTCTTTCAGCACAGAAAAATATGGATGCTGGAATTATTTGGGTTTGTATCTACCCATGAGAATCTTGTTTACCCAAGAAAATATATATCTTCAAATATAATTGGCAACTTTGGTATATATATAAAAAAAAATGCTTATTTATTATTCTATCTACTTGGCTACTGTACTCTTTGAATGTTTTTGGATCTTCCATATTTATCAGAATTTAGGTGACTCACATTCCTATTAACCTTTAATTATCGCCATTTTTTCCTCATAGAGTAAATCATTTTCTGACTAGGTATGATTGTTAAATATCTTTCATCTCTCAGTGAGCTTTTCCTTCCTGTTTGGCAATCTGCTTACATCATGCCTTCTGTCTTGAAAAGTACTTACAAAATGGTACTGTGAGGTCCCAGGTTTACAGTCTTTTAATCTCAAATGCTCTGTGTTCACAAGGAAAAATCTTCTAATTCATGGTCCTACCTGGCCTCTGACAATGAAACTATGTCCTTTCCATTTCAATTATTGTGAGAAACAAACTGCATCCCATCAAATAAATGAAGCTTTTGTCTATGCCTGTCCACAAGTCCTGTTTTCATTGGGCTAGCATATGTGCAATTGATTTGAAATTACCAACCCCTCTTTGTAAGGAGTATTCAATACCTTACTGAAGTCTCAGCTGCTGAGGCTGTAATGCTCAGCACTGAAAAATCTAGCTCGTTAGCTCTTAGCTATACCTGATGCTTAGCTATGTAGCCTCTTCAGGGCTAAAAAGAGTAAAAAGCAGTGAAGACTTATTTCTGCCATAAAGTCGAAGATCTGATTGAATGTAGACAAGTAGCAGTCACGCTGAGGAAGAAGTTACCATTATTACAAAGCCACTCTTCTGTGTAAAGCTACGCTATAAAATACGTCTATCCATCTGTCAGCCTTTAAGAGTTTGTTGAAATGGATGAGCTTGGGTTTGGCTTACATTTTCTTAAGGAAACGAACAGCAAATGTTTAAATAATACCTTTGCACGTGAAACAGAAAAGAATTACCAAAAATAACTTAAAAACAACACTCGTTCCGGTTCTCCCAAACACAAAACCACGTGATTTGTTATGAAATTCAGCCTATGTATTAAGCAGTTTGAAACAGGACTGGTTTTTTGTCTACTTTAAGTATTGTGCTGCAACTATTCATAGCAACTGAAAAGGCCACTTAGAGGAACCAGATCTAAAAATAAACAGCGACCACTTTTTAATCAGAGCCATACTTGATCTGCCGTGATTCTGCAAACATCTTCGTGACCCGTTGCTCACGGCAAGGAGGAGGCAGCTCCTCCGGCAGAGCGTGCGTTTCCCTTGCAGAGGCCGGCGGGCACACAGGAACTGCCTCTCATTGTTCTGCGTTGATGCCTCTTCCAGTCTTGCCTTCCGCAGAGGAAAAGCCACGGAGGGAAGTCCATATGAGACAATTTTCAATATGAACTGGTTGAAAGCTCCAGCGGTTTAGCACAGTAAATATTTTTTTCTCCCGCTTTCCTTAGTGGCAGAAATCAATACAGTTGACTAATAGCAAGTCTCTCCTTCTCCCAAATGTTCCGCCATAGGAATTTCAGGGAACTAAAGCAACCATCAGATCGCCGCTTCTTTGCATTTCTTCTCTTTTATTTATCTTTACAAGAACTGAAGGCAGTTCATGTCACTGTTCTTGTTTTTATAAGGGATTGGCAACCTCCCCTCTTCAGCCTGCATGCCTTGGAAAAAAATGTAATCTGAAGTCATTGTAAGACCATTAGCAAATGTTTGTGTATTAGAAGAGCAACTCTCAAAAGAAATGCAGATGTGCACGTACAAAAGTAAGAGCCTTGAAAGGCCACAAGCTCCCACAAAGCTGTTCAAAGTAACTGAAAAAGGGCAAGTCTCAAAACATACAGGTATTGACTTTTGAATCCTTCTCCTCATAAAAGTTGCAGACCAAATACAAAGTTCTGTTTTTCTTAGAAAAGAGCTTTATATATATATATTTTTTTCTAAACAGGCAGAGAGCCCGGCTTTAGCTGCTTGCTTTCTGAAATCCCTGTCAGAGTATGAAATGTAGGTGGTATACATTATCCTTTTTGCTAAAATGAAAATAAAAACTTCCCTGATTGGTGGCTGAAGCTAATGGGAATTGATAAATTACTTTCCATCCCAGTGGACATGAAATCTCCGAAGTTTTAGATTTCAATTGAATGAGAAATTACTTCTGCAACTCAGTCAGCAGGATCAAATATAACTGTGTTTTTTTAATCTCATCAGAGTGTGACAAAAATCAGAAAATTCATAGCTTTGCGACTGCAATATGTGAAGGCACAAGTTAGAGGCACCCTGTTTAGAGAAGCGTAATTTATGAATGCCACCTCCGCATTCTCAACGCTCGCTTAAAATTTAGGGATTCTTGGGATGCTGAGAGGCAGCTCCTCCACTCCCATTGACGGCACTGCCTCGAGGGCTGGGAGGGAACATGCAGAAAGGGTTACTCCTGCCAAGCAAGACCTGCTTTCACACCTCCCCAGCACGCCTTACTCTCAAGGGCAATGTGAGCACTCAGACTCAGCAGTTGGTTAAAATACCCTTCCGAGCACGAAGCCATTGGCTGGAGCTGGGACTTCTCTCCTTCCTTTTTCTGTGTCTTTATTTGGCAACTTCAGCAATAAACACTTCCAAATAGCATTTTAGAGAAATGTGTTGCTGATGTACTCGCTTTACGCCAGGAGGCGGGGGGAGCATGGCTAGAGCTGGTGCACCAGTGTGCTCCCGCTTGGGCCCCAGCTTTAGCAGACAAATGAGGTCTTTCTATCAAAGGGGGAGTCCAGATCTGCACCCAGCAGAGCTGAGACAAATTGCCCTCTCCACGTAGGCATGTGCCCTTCAAACAGCTCGAGCTGGCTGCTCGCAGGCTCTGCGCAGTTACACTCCATCTCCCCCAGCTATAAATAGCAGCGCCAGCCAGACGTGCCTTCGGCCAGCCAAGAGCTTGCACCCATTCCTCCCGACGTGCAACCATCTGCACTTTTGTCACCTCTAGGCCACACGCCACAACCCTTTGCTTGGGGAAGACACCACAATACTTGCGGTCAACGTGACAGACAGCAAATCCTGGCCAGCATGGTCAGCAGCAGGCTTCAGACCCATGCCGTGCGCTGCCTCCTCTCACCCTTGCCCTCTCCCAGCTGTGAGGTGGCGATGCTCAGCCAGGGACCTCACCATGGACCTGTGCCCGCAGACCCTGAGGAAGCCTTTGTCCCCAGTGGCATGGCCTGGCGAGGTTTCTCCTGGAGCAAGGCTTGTGCCGGGAATGAGCTAATTTAGGACCGTGGCAGAGAGTTCAGATGCTTATCCAGAGTTTAAAGAGCAGATGAACTTTTTATCCTGCAAAATTTGGCTATGTTTCACGGTCCTTATTCAGGCAAAACTACAGCTGGCTTTAATGGAAGCTTTGGCGGAGGGGAGAAACTTAACTGAAAGCTGCAAGATTTAGCTTCTCCCTGGAATTCTCATGAGATATCTGGTTGGTTTTGTTCAGACTACAGGAGCAATTTCAACATACATTCACCCTTCAGCTTCCAGTCACAACCTGGAGCCTCAAACATTGAACTAAGTGTCAGTGAAAAATAACTGAGAGAAACCTGAAGCGATAAAGAAAACAGAAAAAGATCTCCTGCACTGGACAAACATGACAAAAACTTATTTTATTCCTGGACTTGCAGTGGAAAACTAAAGCATGCTGTCTTATTCTTCACTAAGATAGCGTCCATATTTAAAATATGTACGTAAGCATGACATGTGCACCACCATATGCACAGAAAGTTCTCTTCGGTTGTGGCCTATAAATGCATTTGGCCTGAAATATGTATGACCAGCAATGGCTCCTGGTGCTGTACATCCACCCAGACATGACAGAGAGGGAGTGCTGCCGCAGTGCACATGTACTTTGTTATTTGTGAAGGCTCTGTATGAGAAAGCCGGTCATTTCCTCTCCTACAATAACAAGCTCGATAGCTATCTAATCGTGTATGGTAGGAGTGTAACTGCCTACTTCCCACTATAGCCACAAGATACCATTTTATTTCTGGCTCATCTAGCTGTTCGGTCTGTTGTGTCCCTGAGGATAATTAGTCCTGAACTCAGGGAAACTATTTATCTTACACCGGGGATATTCTATCAAATACCTCTTCACACAAAAACTCATTTAAAAGGATAAAAACCATTCCCTGAGGAACTGAATACATTTGTAGGCTTCTAGTCATTTCCAGCAGGTGACATATCTGAAATCACAGAGCCTCCCTTTCGGTGACTAGGTGGGAGCCAATTAGCATCATTTTGAACTGGGAAAGCTGCATCACCACAGCCTCCAAGGAGCAAATCCTATTTGTTGTAAACAAATCTGATTTGCTCAGTTTCGCCTCCCCACAAACATTGCACAACTGTCGCAGAGAAAGTTGTTTTACAGGGCAAGCCCCCATTGTCACTGAAAACAGGCAGTGTTTTTTTTCTCCCCAGGAGAGGAAAAATAGATGTGACAGTTCACAGCTACCACAGGTAATGGCTGCAAACTAGACTCTCTCACCAGAATTTCTCCCCAAGGCTCCTTTAAATATTCCATGACTAGCTATGTCCAAATGTATTTCCCAAAGGATCAAAGTACATTTTTCTTCCACTTGACAGAAGTCACCAAGTTGTTGCTATCAGTTTGCCCTTGCAGTCCTTTTGCATCACCCGCTTGCAGAAATAAACATTCCTCGAGATTTTTCCTGATGCAGTAACTGTCCATGCCACCAGGGCTTTATTTTGGCCAGAGATGCCTGCGGTGTTTTTGCCGGAGCACAAGCATCTTGTTTAGATCCCATGAAAAGAGAGAGCTTGGCTCTTACAGAAGCTTGGCGAGTCTCTGACTGCAGCTAGAGGTCCAGTAGAAAGAAAAATCCAAATTATTAGGACTTGGTATATGAAGCAGATGAACCGATCTAGAGGTAAGTCCTGGTATGTCCTAAGGCTTAAATAGCAATGCACACATGCCCTGATTTCCCCACTCAGAGAACTAAAGTACCTCTAAAATGTTTTTAAAGTAAAGGAGTTAAAGAACCAGCACAACTACATCTGCCTGGGCCCTCTCCTGCATGCAGACACAGCCCTCATGTACTGATGCCTGATGCACGTGAAATTTGAGCAAAGCCCCTTAGGGGTCCTAGCTAAAGACTACCCCCCCTGAAGCATGCACAGGAGGCACGTGCTCTTTATGAGCAACAAAAGGTGAATCTGAAAACCTTGCAGTGTCACAGTTCAGCCTTTATTAAGGAAAAATTCCCTGTTTAAGGACTGAATAATGGTGTGGAGCCAGGCCATGTTTTCACCAATCCATCAGGCTAACTGGCCATGATACACTGTCTGGATAATAAATGCCATTCAGTCCTCATTGCCATGTCTTTCATTAAAAGCTATATGGGGAAGGCAGAAATAAAAATTACAAGAAACTGTGCATCAAGCTAATTCCACACACTGACACCATGGTGTACAGGGTGCGACATGTTTGCTCCATGGGAGATTGCCTTTGTTTTGCTGGGGCAATCAGGATTTCCAAACTTATGCAGCAAGTCAAGCGCAGGACCCCACATCACAGCCTGCTGAGCTGCTAAGCAGAAAGTTGTAACCAGCTAGAGAACAAAATGATTTTAGTATTCGTGTTGACCTAATATGGACAGATCTGCATTCATGCTGCCTAGGTTGAGAGCCTTCTGTTTTGTTCTATCCTGAACTCCCATTAATCTCCACTGAAATTATTCCGAAATATGATTTCTTCACTGGCAAAACTGGTTAATAAGGTTCTTGCCCTCTCTTTGATCTCAGGCAATAATTCCTATTCCTCTCTGTCGCCTGTTTCTGAAGTCATGGTTTAAGGAGGTCACGCAAGAAATACAGATTTAAAAAAATAAATAAATCACAGAAATTTGGAAAGGGATACTTGTTTTGTTTAACCCTTACCAAACATTTATTCACCTTTGGGCAAAAGGTTGTCTCCTTCTCTAAACGCACAGCAAGGAGCACATGCTTTGTCTGAAAGGACTATCACCCTGTCACTGCGCACAAAGTCCTGCTTTTGCTTCCATCTTTAACAAGAAAAAAAAAGTCCCATTTGTATCAAGTCTTTAAGATGGGGCTAGGACATATTCTCAGCAACACATTGCTTCTGACCTACTTTCAAGAAGGCCCCACAAACAACACAATGTATGTGACTGAGGGGAAGGACAAACTGCAGGCAGAGCTGTGTAAAGGGACAAACTTTTTCAAATGGGTTTGCCCCTGGGGAAATCATAATGCAAAACCGGGCTGCTAGGTACTTGAGCACCTGAGAAGATCTAGTCTTACTATTTCTGTACATCAATTTCACCCTTTTCCAGTGTTGTAATGGGCCCTGCCTGCCTAAAAACAAATTCACAGAACTTCATTAACTGAGGCCCATGAAATGCTTTATGGATGACAAATATCACATAAAGTTGCCAAGTATACTTACACATGTGCAAAGCTATAAGCGACCAAGACACAGAAAGATATGGCAGAAGTGTGCTGAACTAATGTTGTTGTAGGCCAAAGCGATGTAGACACCACACTCTGCAAGCCATGTCTCCATAGCAGCAAGAATAGGATTGCATTAAATGTCATATTTATCTAGACTTCATTGTGAACTTAATCACAGTGAAGGAGAAAGAGATCCACA